TCTCCTCCACCTGCACTGACTTCCCTCCGCCCAGCAGCAGCCCGTACATCACCTGGCGGAGCGGCCTGGAGGTCAGGTTAACGCTGGGCAGGTCTTTATGTCCCATGGTGACACTGAGATTCATCCTACGCAGCAGCAACACATCCAAGACGTCTGGGGTCAGCCGGGCCTGCATCAGTTGCAGCCGAGTCCAGTCTGGGACAAGACCCACCACCTCCAGGAGACCAGCACACAACAGGTCCAAAGTATTACAGACTCTCTATACCACTTTTTCTCCACTATACTTTGGCTGTAATTGTTTCTTTTTAAATTGATCATATGTAATAACGCACTGATTATTCTCAATTCTCAATTTGTTTTTCAATTAAAGGCTTAACTCTCTGTACCCCCAAACCTCTAGTAGATTTAAAAGGAATGTTATCTTTAAAAACTAAAAATAAAACACATAAAAACTGGATCAATAAAATGAATGCGGCATGGATCAAAACGGGATACAGTATGAAAAGTTGTCAGCAAGTTGTTGGAAGATGCATTCAGCATGGTGAAACATCTTAGAGTAGAGTGAAAATGTTTGCAGAGCCTTTAAAAATGAAATTAAATATTAAATATAAATATTAAAGTTAAATATCTGTAGTGTGTGAAGCTTCCATTTTTTTTGTCTGTATTGATAACACATGTAGAAACTCGTTGACCTGGTGATTCTAGATTTTTTCAATATTTATGAAATAATCAAAGAAATTCAACGTTTTTATGAATTGTGTCATTCTAATGCAAACTACACTGAAGACATATCTAAGTTCTCTCTACTTCTGGTTGTGCTGTTTCCACAGAGGTGCAGGACTTTATGTTGTAGTAAAAAATTAGCAGTGTAGTAAGGAAAAATGTGACAGGAAGAAAAATGCCCAGAAACAGCTTCAAGTTCAAAAGGTTAAATCTGAGAAAAGTGAGCCCTCAAACATCTTTAAAGGCTTTTATTACCTCTTCCACTGCTGGGAACAGTGGGGCCACCCCGTGGATGAAGAACCCTGTTAGGGAGCTGGAGGGCAGCTGGTATTCCTTCATCCCAACAGACAGCTTCTGCAGCAGCTCTGCCTTGCTGTTCTTGCTCAGTTCTCCCATCAGCTCCAGCGCCGCCTCCAGGGNGTTTTGTGTGTCGTTACTACACAGGCAGTGTGTGTCTGTGTTAAGTTGATCTGGGTGTGTTTCCTGAATAACCACCAGTGTTAAACATCTGGCCGAATGGGAAAGAGCTATAAGAATGTAAAGGATCCTAATTGAGCTGATCTAAATTTTCACATATTTACAGATGTGAGTCATTGTGGGAATACAGTGCATCTCCCATTTTTCTCACCATGTTCTTAAATTTTCATTTTTTTGATTTTATTTATTCTTTTTTTTTTTTACACAAAAAAGCAGTACAATGCACAGAATGCCAAACTCTTATTTTATTTATTTATTTATTTATTTTACCACTTTACTACCACTTTTGCATAGTTTCGAATCCTCTCACCAAACATGAAAATTATGTGTTTTTTATTTTGGTCAGTACGTTTCGTTTTGCTGTCTGTAGATGACATGGATATAGACTTTATCAACATGTGATGTTTACGGTTTTTCGGCGAGGTCTTGTTTATCTTTATCTTCACACACAGTCATGACAAATCTGCGAATGGAACATCTGGAGCGTAAATACAGCAAATATCACCAGTTAAACTGGAACACCGGTGCTGTCGGCCATGCTGTTGTGTTGTTGTTGCTAGCAAACACGTTAAGCACACACTACTCTTGTAATATGTCACAGTGGGAGTCTCGCGAGACTGGAGCGGCCAGCTTTAGTATCAGAGCTCCAATCAACTCATAACTCATAACTTTACAACTGGACATGGCGCGCTCGATCTAGAGGCCCGCCGAACAATGTATTCATATTATTAAAGTTAAAATCGATTTCCGGTTCATATCAGTGAATCTTTACACCCGTAATACTTAATATTGTAAAACTAATGCAATATAGCCAAATTTAGTTAAAACAACTAAATGTAGCTGGATTAGTTAAATTTGGCGGAATTAGCTAACAGCCAAGCTTAGCTAATGTAGCCAACCAAGGGAATAATGCAATATTTTGTTAAAATAACCAAAATTTGCAAATACAGCCAAACATAGCTAGTATCATCAAGTTTAGCAGATATAATAAAACTCAGCTAACAGCCAAGCTCAGCTAATGCAGTCCAACCAAGGCAATACAGCTCTATTTTGTAAAATAGCCAAACTTTGCCA